CAAGTGCGCCCTTGAGCCTCGTCCAGGCCTCATCGGTCATGGCAGCATCGAACGTTTCTCCGAACTTGAGACAAACCTCTTCCGCGATGTTTTCTTCCTCAGTTAGATTCTTAAATGCCGGCAAATGAGCCATCTCATGCTCGATAAGGTCCATGGCACCCTGGGGGCCAAATCGTTTCGACCATTTCGCATAGCGGGAATAAGCATGTGGCCTCAATTGTCCTCCTGTTCGTTGTTAGATATCTCTCCAAGGGGCAAGATGCAAGTGCCATTACCATTGCGTCCGGTGGCACCTCCGCAAATGTCACGAGCTTCTAGCAGAGTCACATGAGGCTGCCTGGAAGCATTTTCTGTGTACTAATCACTCGTCAGATTTAATGAGCGGACAACTCATTGTGGTGCGGTCACGAACTTTGTTGATCCAGTACGCGGTCGTCGCGCCGGCATAACCACCGCCGATTATTGCCACATCGGTCTCCTCTGGCAACGCCTCGCTGGAGCGGAAGTTGCGCAACGGCGATTTCGCAGCCTCGATCCAATAGGATTTGGTGGGGTTGGCAGTTGGTAAAACCATGTTGAGAAATTGAGAACGATTGTCTACTTTTCACGACCGGACAGAGAGCACGTTTCGCCAGGCACGTAGTACACATAGTACACGCTTTCATACCTGTAGTCCATCACCGCTATTTCGCAAATCGACCGGGTATCGTAATTAGCCCGGTCATCGACCTCGGGAGCTTACAACTTCGATCTAGAAAGTTCGAGCTCGAGAGACAATGACACCGGTCCGGAATCTGCTGAAACTACTGCTCATCGTTATCGTACCTAGGTACTTGTGTGTCAATGGCAGAACCGGGTAAGCGAACCGGTCGCGATCCGGTCGCGATCGATAACCACCTGGTCCGAGCGCTGCGGCAGTCACCTCGACCGGGCCGGCCTTCTATCATCCACTGGCACGTTACCCAGGTACTCACGATCGCAAAACATGAGAGTAATGGGCACGACGCAGGGGCCTCTTCTTCATAGGTCTTTTACTCCTTGTGCCAAGTCGACACATCTTGCATCAACCGCTGTCGAGCTCCTTGACTTCGATCATCACACACCACACCGACAGTCAAAATGACACAGCCGCTCAAGCATGTCGTGTTCGACGTCGTCGGCACCTGCGTATCGTTCGACGCCTACTACGAACGCATAGACTCAGTCTTGGGTGCAAAACTTCGCGAGCACCACATAACCGCGCAACACTTCGGGTACACCTGGCAGACAGCTGCTGAGCTGGAATTCACCTTCTTGTCCATCTCCGAAAGTTACAAGCCTTATAAGGACGTTCTCCGAGGACTATTCTACCGCACCCTTAGTCTTTGTGGCATCGCTGATCCTCGGGCTGTAGCCACCGAAGAGGAGCGGGAACAGTGCATCGAAGGCTATTCCGCTTTACAGCTGCGACCTGGCTGCCGGGAGACGTTCCAGTTGCTGCGCGACAACGGCTTTACCGTCTGGTGTTTCACCACCGGGGATGTCCAACGAGTCAGAGGCTACTTCGAGCGCGCCGGTGTAGACATGCCGCTGGAAAATTTCGTCAGCTGCGACAACCTCGGTGTGGCTAAACCCGCTCTCCGCGCCTATGAGTCTGTATGGAATCGATTTGGAGGGAACGATGTGAAATGGTTCGCTGCCGCGCACATGTGGGATGTCGCAGCGGCCACAAAAGTCGGTTTTCGTGGAGCATGGAGCTCGGTGTACGAGAAGGAAGCTTGTCTCGACGTTTTCAGTGATGTGAAATTAGAGGTGGTGGCTGGAGGTCTCATGGAGATGGCGCAGCAGATTGTAGAGAAGTCTCAATGACATTAGTACTACTGCGTCTATTCCAACCCGTAATGACATTAGTAAAGAACGTTCATTTCAACATGCTCTTTCCCCGCTCCCAGCATTTTGCCCGAGGTCCGCCATTATCTTTTGTGAGGATGCGGGTATCGCCGTATGTGATAAGCCGGGCTTACTACTAACCGATAACGGACAAGCTTTGTGCGGAGCGTTCCTGCAGGAGGCTGGACGGCTTCAACGTCGCTGCATTGCGCGTCATTCGGCTGACTTATCGCTCGCGCTTCAGTGAGGGGGCGTCGTTGACAGCTGTGAACTCACGACGTATGCTCAAAACCCTTCCGCCAACTCAATCCCTTCAGCTCATACCTAGTCAGCTTGAGCTATGGACGTCGAGCCTCCAAGACCCACCAAGAAGCGTCATCTAGCGGCAGAAGAACGACAACGAGCAGTTCGCGCGTAAGACCCACCACTGTCTCGCCGAGGAACGCGAGGTAGAGTCTTGGCTGACAAGCATCGCATAGGTGTGATGAGTGTCGCCGTCTCAAAGAGAAATGTGAGGATGGGACACCGTGTAGACGCTGCCGCCATCTGCGCCGACCGTGTAGATACAATGTTGCACCTGCTGCAGTGGACAAGCGAGGACCGGGCCTTCCCGCCTCGCCCAATGAGCTGATGGACCGCATGCGATGCATGGAATTCATAATCAAACACCATTTCCCCAATCTCGCCCTGGATATCGTCTCTTTACAACGCACGTGCGATTCTCTGTCTTCGCCCACTCCACCACGCGATCAGAACGCGGTCGTACCCGAGTCTATCGAGCTGTCGGTGAATGCCCAAGTGTCTGACAGCCCTGATATTGGAGACGAGGATTGTACTATTGACCGCGTAGATGGCACGACAGTTCGTATGTGCTTCGTAAATCCCCTCGTAATTTCGCAGGCACACTGACGAGAGCTTTTGTCGCTGTGCAGATTACTCAGGCGAGTTCTCTCATTGGAACTTTTCCATGCACATCAAACGCAATATAGACGATCTTATGGCCAAAGCCAATGTGCAGGTACGTACTGCTAGCCTAGTCTATTCCTGTTTGCTCACCATCTCTGTCAGAACTCGGAAAACGTAACGCGGGTGCCAGATTTCATTCGCGTCGGCGAGGCAGATCCAGCCTCGACCTCCATCTCGGACGTCCTTGCTGTTGTGCCACCCCGACCGGTTGCCACATTCTTGACCAATGTCTTCTTCAATCATGCCACCAGCGTCTACTACTATGTAGACCGACGCTGGTTCGACGACATCCTAGACAACATATATACCAACCCTGTCTCACTACGCTCCAAAGACGTCACTGCAATATGTGTAGTACTGATGGTGCTGGCAGTCGGAACTCAATACGTCCATCTGGAGTCGCCAGATCGGCACAAGACTTGCAGCACGCGCGTTGCAACGGACTCCGAAGTTCAGAGTAGTTGGGAGCTCGAGATTGGATCCGGCTTTTACCGTCAAGTAGCAAAGCTGCTTTCGGAGGTCATCCACGCTGGCTCGCTGCTCAGTGTCCAGGCACTTTTGCTTCTCGGCCTATATTCCTTACCCATTGATGCATCTGGGCTGAGTTACATCTATTTAAACTTGGCTATCAAGGTAGCCATACAAAACGGAATGCACCGAAAGGTCTCGCGCAACGTCCTTGATACGAGGACCAAGGAAATCAGGCGTCGCATTTGGTGGACAGCGTACTGCATGGAAAGGTTTGTTGGTTCTCGACTGTCCGATACCACCTCGTCCTCCTGCTCACAGATTTGACCTACTAGAAAAATTGGTATATACCACGGCCGCCCAATATCCATAGTACGATCCGACATCGATGCAGATCTACCCCAGAGATCTGAAGCAAACCTCATGGATGACGACCATTTCAATGCTCAAGGTCTCCTGGAGTCGATCGAGCTCACAAGGCAAGCTGAAGCCTTCCACCACGAAATGTAAGACCAGACCAAGACTTTGTTAATACACAGAAATAGAACCCAGTTAACTAACTATGTATTGCTAGATCGTGTCTCCGCACATGTGCGAACGCTGAAGTCGGGGTGATTTTGGACCGTATCAAGCGCATGAAGGCGGATCTGCGAGGGCCCTGGTCGCCTCCTCGCGGGGGTGTATTATCGCCACCCGCGAACCACGAAGCAGAACTACCAAAAGCTCGCGCATTGATCCATTCTCGACTGGAGTGCTGCCTCTTGCACATGTTTATCGGACGACCCTTTATCCTCGCGCACCGTCACGCGCGGACCAATGCACATTCCAAGGACGCCAATGCCGCATCCCCAGAAGTACGCCAGAGGAAAGCATCCGAGTCCCACTCACAGTGGGACTTCTTGGTCCAGGACTGCGTTGCGGCCGCGAAGGAAGTTATCAGCACATGTCAAATCATGCAGACGGGCGACATGGGCCTTGCAAAGTCGTCATATGCCGAATACAGTTCCTGCCGCGCGTCCCTGCTGGTCTTGATCGCCTATAGCATATGTTACCGGACGAACGAGTTCGCAAACACCCTACAAGTAGGTCTTCAGGCGATCAGAGAGATGGCTTCGGCGGGCGATTCCGCGCGTTCAGAAGTGTCGCTCCTAGAGACACTGGAAGCGGCGCTGCATCGACTTCACGTTTTCAATCCATTACCCAGTCAACCTGCGGTCACGGAAGCAAATGATGCAGCTGAAGAGGGCTACAACGGTCTTCTTAACTGGTATAAGAAAGCAGAAAAGTCCACAGTCCCTCGTTTTGGGCCTCCAGCATCCGGACATGCAAATGTACAGGCAGCAACGGCGCAGGGCCCAAGGATAACACCTAACAGAACCGATGCAACAGTGGATACCATGCCAAGCTATGTACCCCTTGATGGCTATCCGTTCGATTTCGATCTACTTAACTCGGATGGAAGCGAGGCGTTCTTCACCTCAGACTTTGGTGACCATGGTAACGCAGAGAGGGAGTTCTTTGAGAGCCTTTCATGGTTACCGAAGTGACGTTCTGCACAGGCTAGAATCGCCAATGTATGAGCGATGAAGCGCATCAATTCAACTCTTTTCGCCAACAGAGTGCGCGTAAAAGTCAGTGGATGATTCATCGCATTGCAAGAGTGGACAATTCAGGTCCCAACTCGTCTTATCTCATGGTCACAACCGTGCTTGAGCAGGCTGGCTTTCCGCTATCTGTTGCCACATCTTGAGAGACACATGTTCTTTCTGCTGGTACCATCTACTCCTGGTGATGCGGTACGGCACAGGAAGATCCACATTCTCTGCGTCACCCGTGATGACCATGGAAGCAATGGCTTTTGCACAGAAGAAGATCTGCGGCATACCGTGCCCGCTGAATCCTGCGCACATATACTGGCCGGGTTTGCCGCAAACTGGCCCAACATAGGGGAACCCGTCGTTGGAATAGCCCATAACTAAGACGTAAGAAGATGAGTCAGCTCTTAAACATTCGATCATAGGCGTTGGTGCAGGCATGACACTTACTACCGGTCCAGAGCTCTTCTGTGTGTGCACCACTATTCTCCCACCCGCGGAAATGTCGTTGCATGTAACCGTCAAAGTAATGCCGCGCGCCATCCATCAGTCTGCTGTCGTCGGATACATCAAACCATTCGTCCAAGTCTTTGTAGTAGTCGCGCCTTCCGCCCCCGACGATGATACTACCGTCCGGTCGAGGAATCATGTAGTCGTACTCATAGTCGGAAAACCGCATCATATAGCTATCAGTCATTCTTGGTGCATTTTCGCCCGCCAAGCGCGCTACTATGCCTCTCACTGGGACCACCTTGTCCTTCATCTCCGGTACGAGGGCAGACGTGTAACCATTCGTAGCATAGACGAGAGTGCTGGTTGTGACGGAGCCGCGCGGTGTATTCACGACCCAATCATGATCTTTTGTGCCTCCATCGGCTGCCGAGACGGATGTTACTGAGGTATGTGTCTGCAAGTTGACACCCATAGATACCGCTTTCCCTAGCAAGTGCGCCACAAGTCGGTAGGGCCACAGACGAGCGGCGCCATATGTATGACAAGACTTTGCACCCCATACGCCGGAAACCTATGGGCTTAGTCAGATCTCTCCAAAGAAACAAGTCACTGAATCATATCAAGGCGTTCATCTCCAAACATTACATACCTCTTCTGCTTCGCTGCCTGAAGTGAAATCTATGCCTTTCGCAGTTGAGATACCCGCTTTAGCGATTTTCGCAATGTCAGCTGCGATCTTATCGCGACCGGCTTCATAAAGGCAGACATCGGTGACCCTGGTCTCTTCGAAGTCGCAGTCACAATTTTCTCGCCGAACAAGTTCTTTGATTGCGTCGACCTGGCGGGCCTCGAATGTAGCCACGTGTTCCGCAACCGCTTTCCCATGCGTCTCCAGTACGCTGGCTGCTCTTGACAAAGGATCTGGTTTTAAATGACCGCCTATTATCTGGAATTAGCACGTGCGAGATTGAACTAGGAACTCAAGGGAATATGAAAAGTACCGTTACGTCCAGTAGCACCAGAGCAGGCCTCACGTGCCTCAAGGATAAGTATTGATGGAATTGGGCGGTCGTGACGCACACACTCTTCGACGATGTGATGCACGATCGATGCCCCAGCATACCCCGCACCAACAATTACAACATCGGCCTGCGTGGGAAGACGTTCAGTGCTGCGATGGTTGTCGATGGGCCCAACTTGTTTTCTCCAATAGGAGGGGACCGCATCCGCCACCGGGAAGGGTTTGACGCTGGTACCAGGAAAAGACATGTTGGAGATGTAGTGTGTAAACCGTGTGCATGTATTCGTGGTAGTTCTACGGATTTGTCCTACGTGCCAGTAGGGCTATGTAGGTACTCACGCTTAGTCATTCACAGGGTAGGTTCGCTTCTACTGTACCCAACCCGAGAACTTGCGTACTTTAGTCAGACAGATAGGATGCGTAAGCCCAGAACGTTGGTCCTTGGCTTCAAGTGGCTGCGCAAGGCGGTGATCGTTAGGCAATTGCGACCGGGCCGGTCGCCGGTCCGGTCACCGATAAGGACCCAGTTGGCCTTGCCGCTCAGCAAGCATACACCCGTTCAGAGCAGTACAACCCGGTCTTGAAGCTCTCTTTCCGTGTGGTAGCATCGGAAGTGTTGGAAAAGCCCTCCGGTCTTATCTTTCGCCAACAGCGCTGCATCAGATGCGAGATGATCGAGCAATTCTACCGGACAATATCCATCAGCAATGGCTGCTCGAGTGCTAGAGAAGGAGTGATGTGAACAGCTATAGGAAAACAGTTCGATTGAAAGAACACAACTTTACAGTGAAGGCACAACTTGTGTCATGATAGATGATTTGAACGACTTGTGATTGCTATCCACGGCGGGGCCCCGAAGACGTTGCCCCGAATTCCAGCTCGCGGCACATGCGTCTGCAATCCTTCTCTTGAGAGCCATCACACACGACACAAACTTCATTCGCTGGTGACGTTACTCAACGGCCTCCTAGGCATCCTAGTGATCAACATGACCATACTAGGCACAGTGAGAACCAGCAAACCACAGTTCACATATATCGGGACCACAGGAGCGATGCCACTCGCCGAGCTCAGACCATAGGAAACTGCCTGGCCCGCCGTCTCAAACGCGCGAAACAAGCCTGCCACCCGTGAAGAATCACCCATGTCGTTGGAGAATGTGCCGAGAATCCAGTATAGTGTCAATTGCGTCCAGTAGCCGCTCACGAAGATGATAAGGTATGGCACGTATGCCCTTGCCCATCTGCCAGTTTCTCTGTCGTTGAAGTCAGTCTAGGTCGCACTGGGGCCTGCCTCGGTAGGATAACTCACGATCCATAATCCAGCGCCGTTTTATTGCCGAGGTAGTGGTACTCGAAAGCGACCCAGATGAAACAACCGGTTTGTGGCAGAATCCACAGCGAGAATGCAACCCATGCTTTGGGCCGCTGGGGCCACCGCTGGCTGTCTAGAAGTTTGCCGAATATGACAACCGACGGAATGGTGATGGCGGCTGTACTGGTCAGTATGTAGTCGGTGGTTCCCAAAATGCATACTTACGGAGAAGAAAAGATGATAGAGCGCGTGCGCGGACCGAGAAGTGTAGCGAGAGATAGGTACCCATCGTCCCTCCGTAAAAGAAAGAATAGAACGCGGGCAGAAAGATCAACCAGACCTTGTTGCTTTGTAGAGTACTCCACAGAGAAACAAATTCTTGCTTCCAAGTGACCCTGCCTGACATGGGAACCTTGCTGCCATCGCGGCGACGCACTCGGGGTGTGGGGGACAGTGACAGCGCCCAAAGAACTCCAGTGCATTCTGCTATTGGTTAGTAAATGTGCATTCAGAGCAGATGCCTAGTATCCGTCACGTACCGAATCCAACAAAGACCAGATATGTCGCCCATGCAATGCCTCCAGCAGAGGCTCTGTCTGAGTTCGTGGAAAAGTTGATCGCACCACCGATCAAGCTTCCGGAGCTTCGCATAGCCGACCAGATGCCTGTCAGAGATTAGTGAAATGATCATACTCCACGTCGCACACAGGTGCTTACCAAGGTATAACCCCCTCTCTTCTGGCCTTGGGTAGCATAGCATGGCTGTCGTTTCGCCGACGTAAAGAAGCCCACCCGCTAGACCGTTGATAACCTGGCCCCATCAGTATGTTTCCCTTGTATGATGAGTGTAGATCGTACATTGGCGGCTATGAGGTACCAGTCGACGCTGAATCTAGCATTTACATAGTACGCAGATCCTTGGAGGGGCATCGTGAGAGCCGCAATGAAGCACGCCCATTTGATCCCGATCCTATTGATGATGGGGCCTCCGAGGATAGTACTGATGAAGCTCATGGCGTAACTCAACGAGGTTGCAAGATTCGCTAGCCATGGCGTTGACAAACCGCCTCCTCCTAGATTGGATATAGCATCGCCCATGGCTGGGCCAACCAAGGAAAGCCTTAATCATGTTCAGCATCCGGATGGTAGTCTCTGAGAGGATTACTCACGCTCCGAACATCACCATCTGGAATAGCACGCTCCGGTAGAAAGTCGACCATTTCCAAGATCGCAGAAAGTCGTAATCGGTAACTTCTTCCTGCGATCCGATCGCGATGTCCTCACCACCGTCATGCTCCGTGTCCTTCACTTTGGCGTCTTTGGTATCTTTAGTCTGCGAGTAATCCATCACAAAACTTTTACTGAATCCCGTTCATGATACGCTTCTATTTTATGTAGAACTCTTGCATGCTAGAGACTATCGGCCGGCAAGCTGATTAGGAAACGGTGCCCCTTGTTTGCTCCAGATAAGCATTGCACCGGCCCGGTCTGTAGCGCGACTGATTAGACATGGTGTTGTACGGGCGACACGTAGAGTACGGGCTTATCGAGCATGGATGAGCATGGGGTAGTAGCCGTGCTCGGCCATCGCGCTCTTCTCAAGTTGCTATGGGCCTTTATATCTCAATCGCTATTAGCATGTGGGTGCTAGACACGAGAGCGAACGTTACAACGATGCCTGTGAGCTCTAACAAAGCCAACTGATGTCTTCAGAAACATAGCCGGAAGCCAGCTGCGCGCAATAGAAGCGTTCCAAGGTTGCTGGGAGTGACGAGAAGCGCCGGTCTTGGAGTTGCGGGGTGTGGGGCTACCTCCACTCTTCTGAACACGCGCACCAATCAAGCCACGAGTATTACTGTACACCCCTTTCTTCCGACAGGCGGGAAGGGGAGGCACCTCATACAAGGGAAAAACTGAACAGGTCTGCAGACTACATTGACCCAAAACCTTGCAAAGGAGGTAACCTAAAGTCAACGTAGGCTCTAGGCTGTTCAGTTTTTCCCTAGGTTGGCGTGGAGGCATACAAGTTCCTAGCCCACGACCGCGAACATGCGCACATCTAGGCGACATGTGTCAGGGGTACAAACGGCCGTTAACAGTCAATTGTGGCTACAGTGATGGAGTGCCAAAGTGACAGAGTTGCGTTTCCGGAAACAGTAAATTGACCTCGGAACGGACGCATACTGTGGATCAGTAAATGCACGGATGTGGCGTATTCCTTTCACGATATGGGTTGCTTGTAGGCTCGTTGCTTGAGTGATATTGCGCTCATCGTAGTCATTGGCTTGGACGCGAACATGACGATGCAGGATGTTCTCGCACCTACCAGGCTTGCAGGCATCTGAGCCTCATTTGCTCCCCAGGGTTGCTGTTCAGATGCATACGGTGGTCAGTCGGAGTCAAGTCTGCGTTGTGTCATCATTGGTGGCGAGCTCTAACTATGTCGGCATTGACTGAGATCGAGTCTATTCTATACAGATGTAACTGACGAGGTCAGGCTTCTGACGCTGATCGGGCCACAATCGGTATCGATTGTGGTCGTCTGCAAACTGACGCTAATCTTGAATGCATGCTTGGGTTTGACATAAACATGCCCGCTGTTCAGATACGGGAGCTTGGGTAATAGTTTCACCAAGTCTTCCCAGAAAATACCCTCCTTGCCAGCTTTGTCTGTGAATAAGAATCTCGTCTCGCGAAGATAATCTTTCGCGAGGAATACTATCGGAGCTTTGTCTTTATGAGCTGGACAGATAACCACTATCTCGGCTGTGTACCCCGCAATCGTTACGCTGAACTGAGCAGCCAGTACCAGCTGGCTTACATTTTGGTCCCAGGCCTTTGGAACAAGAAAAGTCCTGTCGAGATGATCCCATGCATGCAGCGGGGCCACCGATCGCATTCGGAGATGTTCCTGGACGGGAATATGCAGGCCATCGTGACGGAAGGACACCAGGCGGGTAATCGAGTGTTTGAGGAAGGCATCCGTTGAAAGGTAGACTGAATTCATGAGCTCCTGCGCGGAGTATGTGATGATTTTATTCGGCAGCCTGGCCAAAGGCAACCCGCCAATGCGGCAAAACAGCCCGGGACCGCATTTCCGGAGAAATATTCCTATACTGCTGTCGTCTTTCTTCGATTCCCCGACCAAGAGGACGTAGTGTTTCGGAATGCCGGTATAACCGCGCTCACCGTACCAGCCGTATATCTCAAAGTCGCCGCCAAGTAGGAGGCCGCGATTGGTGACGGAGAACTCGGCCAGTTGGTGTTTGTGGACGCTTGCGGCAAATACATCCTCAAAAGCAGCCGGTGAGCTGGCGAATATCTCGACCAGGTCGTTGTTCTGATTTTCCGACATGCTGTTCCAGGCGAAGATGCTGAGGTCGTTGTCGCGCTTGATGATCTCTTGTTGCAGACGTCGGAACGCCTTTGTACCCTCGCCGTAGATCAACGGCATGTTAACGTCGAATATACCAAGAAGGCAGTACGCCATATCCTCTTTCCGTTTCGTCCGCCTTTGTGAAGCCCATGACATGCGAGCAGACACGGATTGCTCGGCTATGATGTCTCTCCGCGCGTGCGTCAACACCGACTCGGGTATGTTGGTGAAACGAGATATGGCGGCCGCTTGCTCGTGTTTGGTTCCAACGAACTTCCATCCTTGGGCGTAGAACTCGACAATGCCTGGGGCGAGCAGTTCTTGTAGCGTCCAGCCTCTGGTGAACCATCGGCATTGGGACAGTCCTCCTTTGAGTACTGCGCCTTCGGGGAAGTCTTCGAGATACGCGTAGCAGACGATGGCTTGTCTGTAGTATTGAAACATGGAATTGATTGACTCTGTTAACTCGGCGCTGCTGGATTTGTCGACTGTAAAAGATGATGAAGCTATTAGCGGATGTACAAGGCCAAAGTTTGCGGCAAGCTACTTTGTAATAATAGCAACAAAACACTCACTATCAACGATCCCGTTAGTTCATATCTTAACGAAGGTATCAATGACTTACCTGCAGCATGTATCGACCCAAAAATATCTTAGATTGTTTTTCAAAGCCTGCTCTGCACAGTAACGAATCTTGCGATGTCCTTCTTTCTGTTCTCCAGTCCCATCTATCATGTCGCGATAGCTGACTTCCTCGCTATCTGGGCCCCAGGTATGTGAGAGGATAGCGTATGGTGGTATGTCATCTTCGATGAACTCCACCAGGCTGAGGCGTTCATCGTCGGCAATGTGGAGGAGGCGCATTGTACGGTCAGGTACCTAGGTACTTGTCACATGTATAACCTCGACATTGCCCGGGAGTGGAGTATGCTTAAGTATAGAATTGATCTATAGCGCGCGGACCTAGGAGACGGGATGGACGGAGGACTAGCGCTCATGAAAGAGGTTACGGCTGGGACGCCTAAGGCTGAATCCACAATCCTGTGGCGGTGCATGCTTGGCAAACAACTGTGCCTCGGAAGGTTATGAAATATGGAGATATGAACTGAGAGTAGATCTGTATCCCATTCTCCATTACTGGAAAATTTGAGTCTATGGAATACCGCTTTGAGCTTTTGCGATGCGATGCGACGACAAGCCCAAATCCACTCAAAGCTCGCTCTTCCACGAATGATCCTCCGGTAAGCCCAATTGCCTTCGTTGCGCATTCAGTATGTGCTGCAAGAAGATCGGTTTGATGCTGAGTACACCAACAAGACTCAACAGCAGCATCAATATAACGCCCAAGCCAACACCCAGAGCTACAGCATCCTGCTGCCTGCTCACCTTCCTGAACCACGCCTTCGTGTCCTCCACAGCGATGTTCTCGTCATGCGATCGTCGCGCGCTCATCATACCCGGTAGTCCATCAAGCGAGCGGTGGTTGAACTGCTTTTGGTAGTCGGCGAGCTCTTGCTTCTCAAGCTGCTTTCGCGCCCAGTTGTCCATGGTATCCCGCTGCTTGAAGCCGTTCTCTTCGCCGTCTTCATGATCGTGGTCCACATAGGCAATTGCGTCACCCGCTGCTTCCTCTGTGCTTGCAGTCTTTCCGCCATCGATCTGAGGCACTCCAAATCCGCAGCTGGTCTGGACTTTCTGGATCTTCAGCACAATGATAGCTCTTGCGCCCGTGACATCAACCTCATCACCGTTCTCTGACGCCATCTTAGCGCGCAATTGCCCGTAGTACGGGTCCCACTTTTCGACTACCCTTCCTTTGCAGAACAGTCGCATGATCTGTGGCGAGGGTCCGAAGGAAGAGAACATCACGGTAACGCGGCCATTCTCGTAGACGTGAGAGATGGTCTCACAACCGCTGCCGGTTGCGTCCAGATAGGCGACGGTGTTCGGGCCGAGAACAGAAAAGGTTCTTGACGGATGGCCTTTTGGCGAGATGTTGACGTGATCTCCAGCCCAAGGAGCGCTGGCCACGAAGAAGAGCGGTTGACTGGAGATGAAGTCGATGTGGTTCTCGTTGAGAGACGGGTAGAATTTGACCATGTTGAAGAGACGGACTTTAGAAGCAAGTAGCGGTCAGGATTGAAGGTGGTGGCCTGGTATGGGACGGTGTTGAAGAATGTAGCCGGCAAGGATGTCGTCCGGGAGTCTGACAATTTGCGGGAAGGGTCGAAGCGAGTAAAGCAGATGTTGCCTGAACTGTGTTCAATGGTCGTCTCAAAGTGGAAAGGGGAGATCCAGGCTGGGAAGTCACGATCTGCCGACTCGTCTACTTGGACCGTAGAGTGAGAGTAATTATGCGGTTATGCCCTATCAGACGAAAGAAATGGAATTCTGAGAATGTACACGTTCTTGTATGTTTGCAGCGCAATGCGTGATTAAGATTTGGAGCGCAAGAAAGCTGCGATGCACGGTAACACGGCCTTACCCTTTGCGTGCTAGCTCGAAAGCAGCTCGCGTGTCAGTGGGGGCGGGGCGCATCGCCAGAGGCGCAACGAGATGCGACGGAAATCTATCAAACGCTTACATCAACACTGTCAACATGGTGCTCGCACTAGCATTGAAAGCAGAGCTGAACGGGTAGGTACATCTCTCTAACTACACGTGTCTACCCTACTAACACACCTTCAGCGTCACCGACCTCCGCCCCAACGACACGGAAGACGCGCCCTTTTTCTACACATTCAAGGTCCAATGCACGTCATGTCGCGAAGTGCACCCCAACCCTGTCTCGGTCAATCGCTTCGAGATGAACGAGCAGAGCGGCAGCAAGGGTGAAGCCAACTTTGTCTGGAGGTGTAAGAACTGTAAGGTCTTTCTGCCCTGCACCCTCTTCCCTTACCCCAACCACTGACATGGACTACAGAGAGAACATTCAGCGAACATCACAGCCGCGCCTACCTCCTACGAACAAAGCGACCCACCCAAGAAGACCAACATCCTCATGTTCGACTGCAGAGGCCTAGAGTTCGTCGAGTTCATTGCTGAAGGAGAGTTCCTCGCGACAGGCACCGAATCCGGCACCAAGTTCTCAGGTATTGAATTACCTGACGGCGAATGGTACGACTACGACGAGAAAGCTGGCGAGGAAGTCAGCGTCACGAACGTCGAGTGGGAAATACGTCGCGCGTAGATTGCGCAGGAAAGAGAAAGAGTCATACGGCAGCTTGCACAGCTTGGAACAATGCACATCACGCGTGGTATAGTTGAGCTGGAAGGACAAGAGGAATGCGAAGAGGTGGCTATAGTCCATCATGACGGTACCGAGCGAGTCACACGCCCAAGTCAGGAGAGGTAATCTATATCTACACACAATACGAAGGCACATGTACATCAATGACGACAGCAACGCTCAACAAAGACTGCAAACGGCGGTGCAACAAGTTGCGCACGTTCAAACTGCACATCAATTTCGTGAACAGCAAAGCTATCGAACATAAGTATATTGGAAGTACTAAAGAAGCACACAGCCGTACGGATATCACAGTTTTACACCTCCGCTACCAGCCACGATGAAGTAGCGACGGTGGAATCTACCTCCAAACTCTACCAACCAGAACAGCATCAAAATCCTACGTGAGAGCTACGAAATCGTCAGCGTACAAGATCAACAAGGATACCTGAAGCAAACTCACCATACAAAGATCGAAAGGCTCAAGACCAGGTAACTACCGTAGTAGCCTTACCGAGCTTGAAGCTATCCTTCGGCTTCTCCGCCTCGCGTTTACCCCACGTCGTCTCTGAGTCCGGGTTACCAAGCGTCTGGCGCTTCTCCTTGCCCCAGGTGATAACCGTGCTTGGTTTACCAAGCTCGATGGTATCAGCAGGGTCAGTCCCATCCCTCTTACCCCAGCTGACCTCGGAGCTAGGCTTTCCCAAATCGATGGTGTCGGGCTGCGTGACTGTGTCGCGCTTCGCTGTACTCCACGTCACAACTGTCTTGGGCTTGCTGATGGTGAAGGTGTCTTTGGGTTCACTCCAAGTGACATCGCGTTTCTTGTCTTTGGGTTCACTCCAAGTGACGGCGCGTTTCTTGTCTTTGCTCCAGATGATCTCGCTGGTTGGGGGGCCGAGCTGCACGTCGTCTGGGTTGGTCGGCTCGTCGCGCTTGCTCCAGATGATCTCGCTGGAGGGCTTGCCGAGTTGGATGTCGTCTGGGTTGGTGGGGCTGAGGGTTTGTGCCTGCTCTTCGTCAGCTTTAATGTCTATAAAGATGAGGGAGTATGATTACCTTAGCTGAAGGCACGGGTGCGGCGCTGCTCACAGCAACCAACACACTAGCAGCAAGAACGGATACGAATCGGTACTGCATCTCTACTTCCGTCTTATTTCTTCTTGACGTCGAATACTATTGTTGGGAAAGGTTAAGAAGTCGGTGGGGCTCGCTTGTAAGGCAGGAAATCTCAGGGTCTGGGGTAGATATATCAAAAGAGATACATGAGATCTACACGGAGCCGGCATACCACTTCATTTATACGCATCATTTGTACCAAAGTTCAGACACACTTTTGCCACTCTCTAGCTGCCCGAGATGGTAGATGGCTAGTTGGTGTTCGAGGCTGTTGGATACGGTTCGTGTAATTTGGGTAAAGTACTTTTGCTTCCTGTTGCGGTTAGGAGATGTTTGGGCCAGCCAGCCTCAAGCGAATATGCAGATGAAAGGGTATGCGTGACTGGGGAATTGAGTGTGGGGTGATGTGAGGATACGACATTCCAGAGGACCACACTGGCTGGTGCTGTTAGGTTTTGGTCCTTGACGTCTTAGCAAGGACGTTGCAGACAAGAGAGATTGGGTGGACATCTACTTGCTTTCCAAGTCAATGGCCAATGCTATTCGAATGTCGTTGTAACGGGTGGGCTTCCAGTCCGTTCCATGCACTTCTTTCCCTCTCATGCTTGAACGTGTCAGTACTCAGCATAACGGCGGGCCCTGGGCGACATGCTGCTCCTAAGTTATCGTTATCGCGTCTCAAGTATACATCAGTACTTGTTACAACGACCCACGCTGCAGCTAATCTCGCTGTTGCACAAGAGTATAAATGCAGGGACTCTCAACTTTAACGACACGTTCTAGCCCAACCCACACCTTAATCTGCGTATTCGGCATCTAACGGCTTCCCTGCAGAGATATCCCTGCGTACGATGATTAGTACTCAGTAAGGGTTGCGCTGCACATCCGAGTAACTGAAGCCTCGTCGCACCAAACGAAAAGTTGCGGCAGAGGTGCCATCTACCGTCAATGCAACATTTCCCCGATAACAAGGGCGCAAGGGTACGTGCAACAGAGTTGCCTGACTATCTAGTCAGATCTGAAAGAGTTGTGGGATCGCTCTAAAGGTCTAGAACAGACGTCGGATGTGTAGTTCGACAGAACCTCTAGATGGTCT